GTAGTAGTAAAGTAGGATATTTAATATTAAGGTAATAAAATGGTGGCGAAGGTATAGCTATTGGGGGAGGCTGGAGGCCATACAATTAAAAAAAAAGTATAGTAGTGGTAGTGGCAGCAGTAGTAATAGTAGTATTGGTAGTTCCTGTTGCATTCAATAATTAATATTATTGTTACTATTACAGTGATGATCATCATTTTTTTTTAAATAGAGTATAATATAAATATTTTACCCAAAGGTTTTCCACGGAGAGAGAGGTGCTGACAGTGATCTTAGTCGGAGGGAAGGAACACGTTGTGAAGTTTGGTATTTGTTGTTTAATCCACTGGTAGTACAGCCCAGCTTCAGTTATTGACATGACCCTGTAGAAGATGATGACAAATAAATATAGAACCAAAGATTGATGTTTTATAATCATAAGAACGGTTAGATAGATAGACCAATATAATAATGTTTTATGCACTATGATTGTTTGTACATTCTACTTATTACAGGAACAAGAGGACTGTTCTTTTGACCAATGAGAGCTAAGGCAGATGGCAGCAACCTCTCTCTCGACAAGTAGAAGTCACAACGACCTACGGGAGGTACAGGTGTATTAGTATAGTATTAACTGCAACTGAACTATGATTACATACACGCACACATAACTTATATATATATATATATATATATATATATATATATATATATATATATATATATATATATATATATATATGAAATCCTTTGATAATTCTAAACCACAATGTCTCTATGGTAAAATGTCAGACTCTGCATATGCCCCCTTGTTCGTGACTGGTGCAAGTACATTACACATAGTCCAGGCATTCTAGAACACGTCAGACAATCAATGGTGCGATGTGTACAGGCCTGCATTGAGGCAGAAGGGGGCAACTTTGAACATTTCATTTAGGTTGTAACAAAGAGGGGTCACACTGTACAGATCTATGGATAAATGATTACAGAAACCTATAGGGGTTTCAATTCATATTCACTCTCATTAATACAACATCTTAAATATATTATAACATGGAAACTATGCAGAATCTAACATTTAACTAGAGAGGCATTGTGGTTTAGAATTATCCAAGAATTTCATCCTCCAATTTAGTTATCCTCTTTGCTGAATCACCCTGTATATTCACCAAGACAAATAAAAGTCTTTGAAGAACTGATCGAAGTGACCACCTCTCTCACTTAAGAACATAAGAACATAAGAAATAAGGAGTCTGCAATAGGCCGGTTGGCCTGTGCATGGCAGCTCCTGTCGAGAGTAAATTAGAAATCACTGTACAAGGACAAACCAAACGAATTGACCATCTAAGAATAACAAAGAAAGTAGTTGAAACCTGTTTTAGAGACGTCTCGGCTAACGATCATACTAATGATGATCTCGAAGTTTATAAGAACGTGGTCGCCTCGCCTCACCAGGGTGTCGGCGCTGTGGAAGACCTCAAACAATGTCTGGTACCTGATGCCTCCCCTTGACTCCGTTTCGGCCACTTCACGGTATATCCCAGACTCCACTGACTTGGAGGAAAAAATGTGTTGAAATTCACACATAATGCACAGCCACTTTCACACTGATATTAGGTATTCTGCTATAGTACATTTTGTGCAAGTACAGGTTTAAGAATAAAGCTACAGTAATATTCATATGGTGATAATATCGTAAGGTCTTACTTGACCAAGACATGACAGAAACGCACCTAAGTCTTACTAAGCTTCCTCTATATAAATTGCAATTCATATTTAAGTGGGTACATACAGCAACTTATTAAGAGACAGATACCTACAAGTGCTCGTACCTTGATATATTCAACATTCTTTGAGTTGCTCTGCCAAATCATAGTTGTCGAGGGGCTGTCTAAAAGGTCACGAAGGGTTTGGTATGGCTGTTCGATGTGTCTTACTGCTAGTACGGACATGAGAGTCCCGGCGTAGCTCTTGACCAGCACGAGTGACATTAACATCCAAACAGCGAACACAAGACGCCTCCACCACCATCCAGACACCATGTAGTCTGTGGCACCGATGTAATAATAATAGTATTGTTGGTAGTAGTGATATAATGAGTTTTAAGCCTAAGGTTCTTATACGAACTATTGAATGATATTATTCCCTGAGTACAATCTCTTCGAATTTAAGGATATTGATCATCGTATTAAAAATGTTAAGATCAAGGAGACTAGTGATCAAGTCGTTGCACTCTATAGACTAAGTTATTGTACTCAAAGGGATAAGTTGTTACACTCAAGGGGTTGTTAATGTACGCGAGGAAATATTTCTCTAGGGGAAATCTAAATAATTGCATTATCGGCATTGGAATCGGTAGCCCACTGGAAGTATTATACATCAGGGGTCGTACATCTATTGTTTCTCATTTCGCCGTCTAGGGAACTATAGCTTGCAAACACTAAAGATAACTACGGTTTCCCCCACTCGACCTCTAGTGGACCCCCTAAAAAAAGATTCTTGAAAGATAAAAAATACAAATAAAACTCTTTTGCTTAAAGAATAAATTCAGCTATTATTTATAAAAAAAATAATTCATATACAGTAGGTGTACAGTTGTCAATATTGTATGTATATTATGTATGCTGGATTATATATTATGTATATATATTATGTATGTGCTCCATTTATGTATTATTTATTCAGCCTAGCTAGCAGCGTGTGGCAATGTTATTACCATATCCCACATGCTTAATTAATGTGCCTGGCGACGTATGGAAGCTGCTAATGTATCACTTGCCATACGTCGTCTATAGCAGTTGACAAGGAGCCTAGCTGAGGAGAGCACTACTCCCCCTTGTGTACATCCTCTTATCCAGTAAACCGAACCTACAAAACTATACAGGTGTTTGTGTTCTCTCCTGTATATAGAACTTATTATTCAGAACCTAACAAATATGTCATCCTCGATCGCTGTTGCCTATTTAATCGCATGTTTAGTTTAGACAACCTAGTGTCATTTTACATAAAATATTTGTTTGAGACAAGAAAAAATCAGTTCAGACATCTAAAAATTAGCTTTTATTTTTGTAAATTTTAGCTGTACATAGTTATTATCTAAAAAAAATGTGTATTGGTGATATACTGATGGAATAATCATACCTTTGGAAAAAAATCCGGATTACTCATCACACACACATGCTTTTGAGTGAGTGTGTATATGTGTTTATGAGACAATATACCAGTATTAGAATCCTTGTGAAATAATGAAAGTTTCAGATACAATCCCCTTTCTTGTTCCAGGCGCCACTAGTTAGATCACGAAGCACTCCCAGTCCACCCTTCGGTAAAGGGTGTACATAACTAACTGTTCAAGTTGGGTAGGTGTAGGCGACTGACTGCAGTCCAGGCCCCCTCTGCCCCAGGGAGGCTTAGTATAAAGTACTGTCTCTAATGGGTAGTCATGCCTGTGGACTCTGCTTACACTTCTACTACTTCACGAAGATCAACACAAGGTGGAATTAATACTTAGTTAGATCGCTTAGTCATAACCGATTAAACTAATTTGGGTGGGCATTATCACATTCAAAAGCAATAAACCTGTGTAATTAATGAGTCAAATATCGTTCTGGACAAATTCAGAAAATATTTATGTCACGTAGGTAACCGCATTAAATTACATTGACTTTGATGATCGGATCGTTTAATAAAGATATTCAGTGTTGGTCCTGGAGACGAAAGAACAATCTTCTAGTACAAATTCAGCAAGCTTGATAGCGTGGGATGAAGGGGCAAGACAGACGCTGGTGATTACTGGTGTCACTGTCATACGATATAGTTCACTGGGAAATACATCCTTCGTGAGATCCATATATGTCAAGCACTTGTTTATGATTTGTTGATACAAACCTTACCAAGGAAATAATTCCTTGGAGAACTGTATCCCTTAGCACAAGTGCTCTCTTTATGGCAACGACCTAAGACTTACCTTGCTGCAGTAAGATACGAAATAAACTGAAGGAATTCGATGTCCAGTTGTCATGTTTATAGTCGTTTCGAGAGAATGAAGAAGACAAGAGGAACATCACGACTGGCAACATCAACATTGTCGTCAGGATGGCCACCCACACTAACGGCGCCAGAGGTGCGAACAGGAAGCCCCACGGGTCGATTTCTGGCCGCCCTCGACGAGCGAGGATCCTTGAGTATTGTATAGTTAGTGGCATGGTAAAATCCACCACTTCAGCCCGTGCAAAAGACAAACTCACCGGGTCAGCACAAAACTCCGCTTCCTCGGTGGGTAAAAAACAAAATAAACATAAGAAAGACTATGTTGCCGTTGTTGTATATACAAGTATATATATATATATATATATATATATATATATATATATATATATATATATATATATATATATATATATATATATATATATATATATATATATATATATATATATATATATATATATATATATATATATATATATGTATATATACTATAGTCCGTATGCATTTCATAAATTTAATACGGGCATCTCTGTATCCTCATATGCTATGATATAATAAATATGAAATTGATATTTAAACGGAATGTCACTACAAATACTGTACTTTGGGTAACACAAACACAAGCAAATTTACCTATAATAAACGAATATAAAATTGGCAACAATTGTAAATTTTAAAGGCCGGAATCACAGTTTCTTACTTTCATGCGATTTACAATTTCGTCGCGATTGATGCCTCACCCCCACTTACCTCCCTCACCACCATGCCTATCAAGCCTGACCAGGACCCATCAGTCTGCTTGGAGCCGAAACTGTTGTCAGGTGGAACCACGTATTTGTATCTGTAGAATAATTAATATTCGTCTTAGATGAATTTCCCTATCAATCGTCTGAAACTGTTTTCCACGGTGAAGTCGATTTGATACATATGTGACAGTGAGGACTGTGCATGATGGTATCTAGTGGAGTTAATTAGGACAGGTTTAAAAGTATATTTAATTCTAGCAAAATTTTCCACTAATCTATCTTCTCTCAATCAATAGGTCAATCAATCAATCTATCAATCAGAGTACCGTCCTCATGTCTGAGGGTTGGCTGCCACAGTCCTCCACTGCAAACGTTTTCGGATTGTTTCCCCCTGGCTCTCCTACCCTAAACTTGTCCAGTAATATTTGTGTTATTATTCCCTTATCCTTAAATATAGGACCAAGTATCTCTTTTTTGTTCTTTTCTTTTAACAATTAACACACTTTCCTTGAAGTCTTTGTTCACCTAAGTACTTCATTTGTTTTCCTGTTAGTGTAAATTATTTCTTAACATATGCCTATAACACCACATTTTATAGGCCCCCAGTCTCTTTATGGTGTCTGCTGAAACGGTCTCTACTTTTGACACATGCAAAAGTCCTTTCCACACTACATCCTTGACCACCGTAGGGTCGAGACCTATTCAGGCGCTGTTCCTGCTGAGCATTGGCCCCACTTGGCCAATGTTCGGCCCATTCCCCAAGTCCCTCTCCCTGACCCATCCTCACCGCCGGGATATCAACATAATCAAAAGTGACAATTTCGTTTCGGAAAGAAGTGGGATCAGTGTTGAACAGTGATGAACAGTGTTTAAGCCAGTGAATTCAGCACCAGACAGTACCAGTGAGAGCCGTTACAGACCAGTGAGATACTGAAGCACCCTGGGAACTGACCACCATCTTCTGGCTAGGAGGTGCTAATCACTCCACCATAGGAACAACAGTGGGTCGGCTTCACACCTGACTACGAGATAACACAACACCACCCAGCAGGGTGAAGTACTGTGACACCACCCCACACCACCTGGTGCCTCCATGACCACGTGAGGTCCGTCATATCAACACCCGAGGACGAGTTACTGCACTACGTGAACACCACACCATCCGGTGCCCCCATAAGAAGATAAGAATGGAGGAAACTGCAGCAGGCCTATTGGCCCATACTGGGCAGTCCCATTTACACCCAACCCCTATTGCTCATATAAGCATCCAACCCATGTTTGAAGCTATTCAGCGTATTTGAGTTAATGGTGATATTTGGTAACTTGTTCCATTCATCCACTACTCTGTTTCCAAACCAGTGTTTACCTATTTCACGCCTAAATCTAAATTTGTCTAATTTAAAACCATTATTACGAGTTCGCTCCTGGTTGGATAGTTTGAGTACCTTTGTAATGTCCCATTGTTTAGCCCTGACTTCCACTTATACACCTCTATCAGGTCGCCCCTCGCTCTACGTCTCTCGAGGGAGTGCAAATTAAGATGCTTTAACCTGTCTCTATACTCAAGGTTCTTAATGCCCGGTATTAGTCTTGTTATTCTCCTCTGAATTCTTTCCAATGATTCTATATCCATCCTGTAATACGGTGACCAGAACTGAACTGCGTAATCCAGGTGTGGTCTCACAAGAGCAAGATACAGTTTTAGGATGACCTTGCTAGTCTTGTAACTAACACTCCTTTGTATGAACCCAAGTACTTTATTAGCTTTGTTACAAGCAAAAACACATTGTTTACTTGGTTTACGGTTCCTACTTATCATTACTCCTAATCTCTCTCCCAGTCAGATTTCTCTATGGCATCGTTGTTCATCTGGAATCTGGTTTCCCTTTTTACATCTCCTATACTGACTACTTTACATTTGTCCACATTGAATTTCATCTGCCATTTTTCAGACCATTCGAAAAATTCGTTTAGATCATCCTGTAGTTTTGCGGAGTCCTCGTCAGATTTAATTATACGCCCTATTTTACTGTCACAGGAAATTTACTTAAGTTGCTGTCTACGACGATATCTATGTTGTTTATGTATATAATAAATAATAATGGTCCAAGTACCGAGCTTTGGGGAACTCCACTAGTGACGTTGCTCCAATCGGATTTAGTGTCGTTAATACTCACTTACTGTTTCCTGTCCTGTAACCACACCGTAATCCATTTTGGTATATCTCCTTTAATGCCATGGGCCTTCCACTTTTCTTATTAGTCTTTCTAGGGGGACTCTGTCGAAGGCTTTGCTAAAGTCGATATATTCCACATCATAACTGTGCCCCTCGTCCATTCATTCGAAAATATGAAAAGAATGTTAATAGATTAGTTAGACATGAACGCCCACTTGTGAAGCCATGTTGGGAATCATTGATCAACTTGTGCTTCTCCAGGTGATTTCGAAAAGAGTTTGAAATGATTGCTTCCAGTAATTTGCCTACAATCGATGTTAGACTGATTGGACGGTAGCTAGAGGATATTGATCTATCTCCCTTTTTCAAAATCGGTATTACATTTGCTATCCTCCAGGATTTGGGTACTACCCCCCCCCCTCACTTTTTTTTAAGGATATGTTAAATAACTTTGCTAAGGGCATAGTAATCTCTTTCTTATATTCCTTTAATACTCTGGCAAATATCTCATCGGGACCTGGTGACGTATTAGGCTTTAGTTTGTCTATTTGCTTACTAACATCGTTACTAGTCACTACTATCTCGCTTAATTTATTTTCTTCACTATATCTGTATATAGTCGGTGGCACGGGTATCATGTTTAAAGTTTCGGTGGTGAAAACTGTTGAAAAATATTTATTCAGATTATTGCTCATTTCTCCATCGTTATCAGTTAGCTCGCCGTTATCTGACCATATTGGTCCAATCTTTTCTCTTGTTTTAGTTTGATACATTTGATAGAATCCTTTGGGGTTAAACTTCGCCTCCCTTGCTACCTTCAGTTCATTATTCCTCTTTGCTTTTCTTATCTCGGTTTTAACCCTACCTGCCAATACCTTATAATAATGTCGGAGGTAAACTTCACCACGATTTATTCTCCTACCTACAGTATAGCCTTCCTTTGTCCAATAATATTATTTAAATAATAATTTATCCATTTAGGGTCATTGTTGTTTGATCTGAGTTTTCTGTATGGTATGTTCTGCCTTTGTGCATTAAATAACTCATTATTAAATTGTTGTGGAACTCATCTACCTCAGATCTCGTTATCACGTCATCTGCAACTGTCAGGTCCCCAAGTAAGGTGAGGTCGCCCTCTGTGGGTACATTGTGTGAGGTCACCTCGTGTGAGATCATGTAATTCACTCCCAAGCATGATTCCCCTTCTCTCAGCTGCCTCTTCAAACTATCAAAGTTTGCCCTTCTGATATCTGGGACTTTAGTGTAATTTTCCTTGCGGCTGCCCTGAAATTCTAACTGGAATCTAATTTCTGTGTGATCGCTGTTAGCAAGTTCGTTCCCTACCTCGGCATTATTAATGAGGATTTCTCTGTTTGACAGAACTAAATCGAGTATATTATTACCCCTGGTGGGTTCGGCTATATGTTGGCTTAGGAAATAATCCTGGATTGTTTCAAGAAAATCCCCTGATTCTGAGTTACCTGTAAGGTCAATCCAATCTGTTTGGCTAAAGCTAAAGTCGCCTGCTATACAGACTTTGCTATGTATGGAAGCCCTGCGCATTTCATCCCAAATAAGTCGCTCATTAACTCTATCAAGATTAGGATGTCTATATACTAATCTTATCATTAATTTTTCCCTACCATCGATTAACCCCATCCAAATTGTTTCTGTATTCCGCTGAGTTTTTATTTCCGTATTTATTTCACATTTCAGATTATCCCTGACATAGATTGCTACTCCTCCTCCTTTCCTAATCTGCCTATCGGTATGGAATAATTTGTAACCTGCAATTTGATATTCGAAAGGTAACTCACGTGAATCTAGGTTTATAAGTGTTCATGTGAATGCTATTATATAGATTTTTCCGTACATACCAACACCCTAATTTCATCCATTTTGTTTCTCATACTTCTACTATTTGAGTAGTATACATTTAAGTTAGTCGTGTTCTGAGTCCTCTCTTTGTCTTGTTTAAGTTTTAACTCCCTGCCTAATTTAGTTTTGTCATAATTTCTAGCACTATTTCCCTGTAACCTTTCAATTTGTTTGCCCGCTCCCACTGCCGTATACTCCACCCCCGTGCTCATATGTTCTCCTAGCAGTTTAAAGACTTCGACATCTTTTGAACTGCCTCCCCGGTGAACGGTAATAAAGTCACAGGAAAGAAAGTCACAGAAAAAAAGTCACATCTAAGGAAATAAAACTAATAATATTTTAAAACAATTATTAACTGACAATACATGACTTTTACATATTGACAACACAATTTATATATGATGCACATAGGTTAGGTTAGGTTAGGTGCATTTTTTCTGTGACTTTTATTCTTGTGACTTTTTTTCTGTGACTTTTATTCCTGTGACTTTTTTTACCTTTATTCGCCACGCCATCCCTAAACAGATGCACCCTATCCCTAGCATAAAGGTCCCTTCTGCCGTAGAAGTTGTCCCGGTTGTCAATGAATGGGACTGATATTGACTTGTAATATCTGTCAAGACGGCCATTGACACCAACTGCCCTTGACAACCTTTCACCACCAACTCCTCTTCTAGGCAAGACACCACATACTATAGGGATCTCTTCCCTATATCTAACCTTCCCCAGCGCCTCCCTATCCTCTTGAAAAGTTCCTCACTCCTAACCTTTCCAATGTTCGGCAGCCCCATGACCACGTGAGGTCCTTCATATCAACACCCGAGGACGATCTACTACACCACATGAACACCACACCACCCGGTGTCCCCATGACCACGTGAGGTCCTTCATGTCAATACCCGAGGACGAGTTACTACACTACGTGAACACCACACCACCTGGTGTCCCCATGACCACGTGAGGTCCTTCATATCAACACCCGAGGGCGAGTTACTGCACCACATGAACACCACACCACCTGGTGTCCCCATGACCACGTGAGGTCCTTCATGTCAACATCCGAGGACGAGTTACTACACCACGTGAACACCACACCACCTGGTGTCCCCATGACCACGTGAGGTCCTTCATGTCAACACCCGAGGTCGAGTTACTACACCACGTGAACACCACACCACCTAGTGTCTCTATGACCAGCCCAGGCCCGGGCCATCAACTGCAACCATAATATTTTGTAAGTTCATTTCATGTTCCTTCTTCTTTCAGTAATGAAAGCTTTTGTTACACGACCCACCCACCCCATGTCTTTGTATGTAATAAGTCATTTTTGTCCAATGTATATTTTCTGCCTTCGGGCTGCCGAACTTTTTCAATAAACCGTTTATTATTATTATTATTATTATTATTATTATTATTATCATCATTATTACTATTATTTATGTCTATCCAGCAGCTTTTTTCTCAGTTTGAAGTTAAGGTCCATTTTCTCATTAGGTCCTTTAGATTATTAAATAATGTTTTTGCTTGAACTATTCTTGTTATGATTTCATTTGGACAAGTACCATCACAGATAATGTTGCTTCCCAAAAACTCAAAATTCCCCGCCTGTTTAAGTTCCCTATTGCCTACCATAATTTTTATTTGGGAGTTATTTTCAATTTCGAAACAACAATTACTTTTGCATTTACAGCACGGAAACACAAATAGTTGAGCATCATCAAGATCTGGCCTCCAGCATTGTAAGAGAAAGAAGTTGTAGTTCCGATTTCTCTTGTTTGGTCTAGTTAGCATTTAATTTCTGATAATATTCAAGTCGTAATATCAATCATATAAAATATGTAAAATATATTAAAGTAGCCAAGTCAAGGGGCAGAGTTAAGTAAGTCTAAAACAGAAACGAGCTAAGACGGAAAAAAGTGAAAGTAGCAATAGTTTCATTTAGGCCTAAGTTTCAAGTCCTAGAATATTACAACAGATAAACTGCAACTCTCAATGATCACTCCATCTATGGGACTATGCGTATGAAAAACTCGGCCAGGGAAATGCACCGGAAAGACACTATGTTCAGTCCATGTTTATGAAATTTTCTTCATCTACGTCATAATGCCTCAAACACACAATAACTATGGGAAGATTAATTATGATACGATATTGAGCAAATAATTTTCACCTTAAAGATTATTATATTCAACATCTATGTATTGTACTTATAGGGTGTCATTTTTATCCTCACAAGTAATATAGACTTAAATTCTCATCAGTAATAGATTATAGGCAGGAATCTTAACTTACGTGAAATTTATTGCTTGTGCAAGAAAGTTCAACATGTCGTCCTTCGTACCTCCTTCTATATCTCTAATATGAATTTGATCCACTACCACTGACAGAGTTGGCTTATGAAGGAATCTGCAACAGATTACAGTAGTCTTGTTTAGTAAATAAAGTGTTGGCAAAAGCTTTGTGTTATGATTAAATTTCAGAGATTAAATATTTCATTCAGTACGTTTTCTGATACCTCCCTTCTTCTTCCCTCACCAACACGTGTATTATAGAAGTCCTGATTTTACATCATCAAATGATTGAATTGGTGTGAATTATTTACGAAGCTAAATACTGATCTATCATGAATCAAAAAATATTTATCAAGCACAAGTTGTTTCTGCACTTTGTCTCGGTCTGATTTACTCTAATTTCATGTTTGTTTGTATTTCTTATAAATTTGTAATATACTGTAGCTCTCCATTCCTCGAAATATGCTACGTACTGTATTTTGATCCGTTCTCCAACATTTTTTCACAGAGTGCAAACTTCTCTGCCATACTGCATCCACTGTTAGATCTACAATTTATATATTTGTATCTCACGTCAGATCACTTACTTATTTCATATTACCATTTTCATCTCCTAACATTCTTGCGTCGTTCTCGGGCATCTGATACTCTAGTAAATCGTCAGTCACTCTCGCCTTTATATCTTTAACCTAGTCTCTCGCCTTATTATATGACAGATGAACTCGCCACACCTCAGACTCTATGTTTTCTGTATCTGAAAATTTGTTCTTACCTTTAGACGCCATTTCCTTAAACTTGGATTTGGTGGGTTCGTTCATCATACTTCAGTTATAGCTATTATGCTCTACTATGTTATCTTAGCACTCAAGTTTCATCATTGAACTCTTTGAGGATGATGTTTTAAGCAATCATCCTGTAAGTGTTCATCATTATAAAATTTGTCGTGACATACTGTACATAAAAAATTTACATCATTTAGATTCCCATCCTTTTGCCACGTTATTCAGGGCCCTGTATTATTCCACATGGTAGACAGTTATGTCGTTGATATAATTTATGCCTTTATACTTGGAAATTTTTTCTCCCACTTCAAAACCTAGACGTCTTAACACTTACTCGAAAATGTATAGGGGAAATAGAGGAAGAGAGAAAGAAATTTAGAATTGGTAATGCTTTTCTCCCCTTCCCTTATTTCGTTAGCAACTTATATTAAACTTTGTTGAATCAATCTTTCGTTCATATAATCCAATACATACAGCATTGTATTTTATAAATGGGAAAGAACAAAAATCTTTTCAGTACGACTTACTTATAAAATTTGTCAGGGAAGAGTGGGAGATGGGTGGTGAGGGCGAGGCCTTGGTGGGTCGTCCAGGAAGCAACCTTCATAGCCTTGGTTCCCGTGATTGTATAGGGCAAGTGAATGTACACCGAACACCTACATGAAAGGTTTTAAATATTAATAAATCATTCACCTCAATCGTTTGCCTCTTCATGTCACAGGAGATGACTTTTTACAATAATTCATACGCGTCAATTGAAGATTCTCATAGTTCATGAGGCCTCAAAGTTTAATATACCTCGTATCTTCTAAAGTGTCGTCAACAACAAACAACATAGAGTTGGTCATGGAGAGTAACTTGTGTAGGTGGTGGAGCTCTTGGAGGGGCAGGCGGGTGACGACGAGGAGCCTCGTCGGCCAAACCAGGAGGCGGCCATTGAGGGACCTCTCGGCGAAGGCGGCGAGGAAGGTTGGGTCGTCGCTCACCACCACCACCGTCACGCACCATGACACTTGCCGCAGCTGTTGACGTCAACACGGTAGAAGTTATGTGAGAGTGACCTACCCGCCTCAGTAGTAATGTGAGAGTTACCTACCCGCCTCAGAATTAATGTGAAAGTGACCTACCCACCTCAGTAGTAATGTGAGAGAACATAAGGTTTGAAGCTATCCAGCGTATTCGAGTTAATGATGATGTTTGGTAACTTGTTCCATCCATCCACTACTCTGTTTTCAAACCAGTGTTTACCTATTTCGCGCCTAAAACTAAATTTGTCTAATTTAAAACCATTGTTACGAGTTCGCTCCTGGTTGGATAGTTTGAGTACCTTTGTAATGTCCCCTTTGTTTAGCCCTGACTTCCTTTTATGCACTTCTATCAGGTCGCCCCTCGCTCTACGTCTCTCGAGGGAGTGCAAATTAAGATGCTTTTTAACCTTTCTCTATGCTCAAGGTTCCTAATGCCCGGGATTAGTCTTGTCACTTTCCTCTGAATTCTTTCCAAGGATTCTATATCCATTCTGTAATACGGTGACCAGAACTGAACTGCTTAATCGAAGTGAGGTCTCACAAGTGCAAGATATAATCGTAAGATGCCCTCGCTAGTCTTGTAACTAACACTCCTTTGTATGAATCCAAGTACTATATTAGCCTTGTTAAGAGCAAAAACACATTGTTTATTTGGCTAAAGGCTCCTACTTATCATTACTCCTAAATCTGTCTCGCA